GGAAAGTGTTTCCCTCCATCAGCTGCTCTCTGTCAAAGCACTGCTATGGGTGACTAACAGGTAGGAGGATCCACAGGCTGGAGGGGAGGGGTAGGGGCAGTGGTTAGCTTTGAGTCTTCCCCCTCCAAACACGAAATCTCTCATGCCAAAGGCCTTCAAAAATAGAGGCCAAGCTCTAAACAGCATTCAACGTGCAGATGATACTGTGAGTCATTCCACCAACATGGGAGAATACTCTATTACTATAAACGGTGTGTTTGCTCAGGGTTCATGCTCCGGAAGCTACTAACCCTGAGCAAAAAAAAATTATCCAAACTTTTGCATGTACCTTCTACTACTACCACTTTTATTATCTATAGAACACTTTAAAAACATCCACGGGTGCAACAAAGCACTGCACATATAAAAACAAAAGCACTGCAACAAAGGACAATGCAGGAAAACAATAAACAGCAATAAACTAGGTAGATTGCATGGCTTTTTGCAAGCCAACTGTGCGATTTGAAGCACATTAATGAAGTCAGAGGCAATCTGATCTAGACCAGGGGTCTGCAGCATACATCTACGGAGCCAGAAGTGGCTCTTTGAAATCTCTATAAAGTGGTTAAACATCATAAAGAATCAACTAAAGGTTTAAAATGTGGTATAAAAACAATACCTTATGTTCAAAGCTTTAGCTGCTCTTCTAAATAATTTCTGAGACAGATTTTCTCTAAAGAACTAAATAAAATAAAAATAATAATCTGTTTTATAGATCTTTTTTCTTTCTGGTATCAACTGAATGTTGAAAACTATGTTTTTATTTTACATAATTTTCTACAAATATTGACATCATTGTTTTAAAATCTAAAATTACAAATAAATGGCAACAGATTTCCTATGGCAAATATTTCAAAAAGCTCATGTAAAATTTGCATTTTTAAACCAATTTTATTCAAATGGGCTTGGATTAAATTGGATTAAAAGGGTTGCAGACCACCCCACTACGCCCCACCACTCCGATTTTAAAGAATTGTCCAGATTTTAAAAGGTTATGGTTTCAAAAACATCCCATTATACCATACCTAATGAATAAAATCCCTTTAATATGATGTCAGAATAGTGGTCCACCTAATGCTGGTAAAAGCATTGTCCAAGTTCTTGTCCAGATGCACCAAACTATCTCTGAGAGCTTCATGTTGCAGTCCTGAGTTCCTTTCGACATGACAAAATCAGATGCATACATTTTCAACCGTCAGCTGGCTTAAAAAATGTCCCCCCTTCTTACAAGAAAGATCAGTTTGCTCATTTGTAAATATTTTCTTTCTTGCTGCCAAAAGAAAAAACAAAAACATTGAAGACTACAGAACTAACACCTGATTATGACTTTTATTCAACAAACTGCGGAGAGGACTTCTGTTAAGCAGCAGGCGCTAATAAACCAGCTACCACCAGCTTGTAACACTTGTGTTACCCTATGACGAGCAGAACAGACATAATTTTGCACAGCACAGCATTTGCCTAATGCTTATACCATGATATCACAAAACTGAGGAACTAATATAATGTTATAATTATAAATAAATTTGTTTGGTAATAAATAGTTACTGTGTGGGCATAGCCGTGTATAATCTATTAAACAAGGCTTCCCCTTGTCTGTTACTGCATGGCGTTATCTGAGGAATTCAATGTTATGTAAACTACAAGCTCAACCAAGGAGAAACACCAGATAAATTGGAACAACACAGAAATAGATTGTAAAACAGAAAAAAAACTACATTCACAGAAGTATGAATCACGGATTTCTTGGAAAATGTGGGTGAGGTTTTGCTCATTCCCCAGCTTCAAAGTGAGGACTGCCCATCACTCTGAGTTCAGACTTGAATGTGACTTATATAATAGCTTTTTTTTTTTCTTTTTTGTGGAGGCAGTCTTGTAGAACGACAAGCTGCTCTCAGATATAGAAGAAAAAAAAAATCTGAAAACCTGACCAGACTTGAGAGGTAGAATGCTGTCATACAACAACCACACAGCTTTTTTCTTTTTTTCTTTTTCTAAATCCAACTAAAAATAAAACATGTATTTTCTTATTCATCAGAACGAAGCAGAAAACACCAAAGGTACTATTACATTACTATGCATGTTCAGAAAACAAATCATTTACAAATAAAGTTTTAAAAAGTCACTTTCCTATTTGAAAGCAAGTCAAATGATGATGATAACTTTTTAATGACACCTCATGGTACTTTATGAACAGGGCCAGATTCAGCTAGATGTGGACCCCTGGGCTGGAGCCAGTTTTGGTGCCCTACCCACACAAACCTCTTCAACTCATCAAAAGTAAACTTATTGTGCGGTCGGGTCACAGATCAGTTGATAATAACTGATGCAGCATCAAATTAATCCCCTGACACATGCTTTTTTTGTTTTTTGTTTTTAAGAAAAGGGGTGTAGCCTTAATTTTGAAGGTCAAACCAGACCACCAGTGTTTCTTGAAAAGTTTAACCCATGAAAATAAAAGATTTTTCAGAAAAGGCCAGGCTTTATGTCATGAATGTGCAACCACTAAACGCTAGAAAGAACGTTCCAAGGAGGAGGTTCCCTTAAAGGTGATGGCTGCAGCTTTAACTCCTTCCGGCCAGTAATTGGCGCCCTTGCACTTGTCTGCTCTCGTTTTGTGCTGTTAGCTAACCAGTTCCCAGGTCTGTTATGATAACTAAAGCACACAGTAACTTACAAGTTATAACATAAAGCAGCAGGTTGTTTGTTTCCTAAAGTCGACACCAATCGTCAAACGCTTGATGTTGGGCCTCACTGCAAAATTTTTCTTTTTTTTCCTTCACTTTAGTCGTAGAAATGTAACAAAGGAAAGAAGCATTGCTCAGCTCTGTTAAGGAGCTTTTAGGATCTGGCAACACCTAAGCTTTTCCTCGTGTGAATTTAACCTACAATTCCTATTGGTGCAGAATCCTTTTATGTCACCATTGGCATCACAACCAGAAGTATTTATTTATATATTTTGGACCTGCAAGACATTTATGAAACAATTATCTATATACAGTACTAATATTTTTCACCACTCTAGGCATTCTGTGGATGTATTATTTTTGAAATATTAATGTTTTTTTTATGACCTTTATCTATTTCTCTTGTTAGATTTATTTTCCTAAGGTTCGGTCAAAGGCGGGGCTGTGACCTCATGTTAGTCAAATACATGAGTATTGTTTACTTTCAAAAAGGTCCAACAAAAAAAAACACCTCACCAAATATGGGGGAATGAGTTTCACCTAATTTACAATGTTTGAAAAAAAGCATATACTTAAAAATAAATATATCATCAGTGCCTCCCAAAACATGTGTCCCTACTATCCCTTCAAGTCCTTTATGAAGTATGACCCAGCTTTTTTTTTTTAATTAACAGATCATTCCAGATGCATGGTGATAAAATACAGGGAGTGCGGGATAAATGCAAGACAGCCCTGCTTTAACAACGTCATATAATACATACAGCCAAGAAAATGTGACGAACTTGAGAGGACCGTGGCAACCAGCGGAGCTCCGAAGCTGACGGCAGCCAGGTCTATAGCCAGGCTATGATGGCGATTTTTTGTTGTATTTGGCAAAGTTTGGCAAAGTCCCTAATCAAGTTCTGACTTCAGACTCGACATCAGACTCTCCTCCTGTAGATTCGACCGATGTAGTAAAATGCTAACCAACACGCTTCACACACGGCTATGCCGAGAGAGGGCCGGTGCAGATGGGCTGTGGTCGGACCTGGCTGCCGTCAGCTTCGGAGCTCCGCTGGTGCCGCGGTCCTCTCAAGTTCGTCACATTTTCTTTTAAATTACGCATTAAATCTGTGAATGGGCCATATGGTGATGCTTAAAAGTATAATATTCTCGCCTCAAATGATCTTAAAACGTACTTTTATTGAACAACAGCAACAGAAAAGAGAACATTTAACTTAGTACTCTGAGCTCTGTGAGTTAAGAAGATGGACCGCCAAGCCAACCAATGAGCAGAAGTTGATTCTCTAGGACACACCCCCTCCTCATTTGCATAATGAGATAGAAATGCATACAGAAATGTAAAAAGGGCAGAGAGAAATGTAAAAAAGGCATAGAGAAATGTAAAAAGGGCAGAGAGAAAAAACAGCGGCGAAGAAATAACTAAGGTAAAAAAATACAATGGAAGAATAAAACAGACAAAAAAATAATAACATGCACATAAATAAATACTTAAAAATATAAGTAATTAAAAAATAAAGTTGAAGATTATAAAGGACAGAAAAATAAATAAGGTAAATATTACAAAGGCAAATAAATAAAGAAGCTAATTAAGAGTTATATACATTTATGTCTCACTTTTTTGTTGGCAATTAATTGTATGCTTATACATTTATTGAGCATTTATTTATTTCTGTATTTATTTTTAAATATGGCAGAGTTGGTCCTTCATACCAGAGGGGTGTTTAATGTGTATTTTGGTTGAGGTTTCAGTTTTGCAGCTAGTGCACCCCCCTCCATGCATACACATATGATCATAGATGAGGGTCACCCAGATAAGATCCTATCTCATGGGAAAAATAACCTGTTTGTTTAGTGGCCTACAGACTTATTAGGCTGTAAATCATCACACTGAAACCATACAGAGCAGCACCTACAGTTGGGTCCCAGAGAAATCAGATGTGTCAGTGCACATGAGCAGGGAACACCAATTGTAATTAAAGAATACATAACAGCCTGCAAAAGGAACTGAAATAATGGCTGTTTGAGCGTCTTTATTGAGGCATTCATATACAGTATGTCTATTTTTCAGCTGAAGTATTCGCTTTATTTATTATTATTGTGCAGAACTAGTTGGGTTTATATTCAGCTACTGGCGCAGCCTCCCCTCTTTTTTTAATGGCTAAAATAATCCCGCTGCAGGGAGTGAAGCTGCTGTTTATCTGCGGCTAAAAAACGCGCAACGAAAGTTCAATCAGATAGAGTCCCGGGCGCGTTTGCTGTCGGCTCGTTTACCTTGCTGTCGATGCTCCGCTGTGTCTGAGCTCGCCGTAGTGCAGCCCTACAGCCCGGGGTACCAATCCTCTGATTTTCTTTTAAATCTTTTTTTTTTATCTTGTCTATTTAAATGTCTCCTTTCAGACGAGCAGCCGGGGAACTTCATACGGCAGGTCGGAGGGACTGAAAGCGGTGAAGTAGTTCATGGCAGAGAGTGAGTGAGAATATCCCTCCATAAGCACCGCCTCGGCTGCTCCCTGCGTGCACACCCCTCCTCATAAACCAACACACACACACAGAGGCGCTGTGAAGCCGTCAAGTAATGCTCGTTAAAAATAATCATTTCCATTAGGATCACTTAAAGGAAATCGATGCAGGATACACTTCATGCTTTTAGTAAACAAATAACTGCGAAAAACAACTACAGTTAAGCATGGTGGAGGCTGTCAGGAAGCATGGATATGGACTTTTAAACAGGACAATAATTCCAATCATATCTTAAAGACCTCTAAGCATAGGCGGTTTTAAACAGGGGCCAAAAGGGGCCAGCGTCCCTCTAGTAACTGGCTAACTGGCCCTTGTACCAAATACCGTAGTGACCCGAATATAGGACGACCCTGATTATAAGACGACCCCCTCTTTCCAGGACCAGTTTTTAGGAACAAAACAAAAAGACCAAAAATAAATTAATTAATAAAAAAAAGGACTATTTTAATAAAATATTTTATATTTAAGTGCTAACAATTTTATTTAAATAATACTGCACTGAAAGATTTGTGCAATTAAACAATAAAAAGTAAAAAAAAATAAATAAAAAAAAAACATGGTAATGACACATTTATTTGAAATCTTGCAACACTTCAACTCAAATGCAATCTCAACTTTGCACTTTTCATTTTTTGGTCCCCTGCACATTTTACTATCCAAAAACAATGTTAAGCTACATCACACAGAATTTGTCAAGCACTAGGACCAAGTGGAAAACGGTAGCACAACCTGAAGCCTGCTTTCCTGAGTTTAGACAACCCATAAGCTCCTGATTGTGTCTTTTCTTGTGTGATTGGCTGTCACCGCTGTCACTCCTAAAGGGCTGGTTATACTCTCGCAGTGTGTCGCAGTCAGCTTTGTCGCAGGTATGACGCAGACATTTTTGATTTATGCCCAATATTGAAGCATGGTCTGCGCTATGTTATATTCCACGCCACAACGCAAGAGGGACAACAGGAACTAGCTGTGGGTCTAGATACGGCCGAGGCAGTGAGGAAGAGGTTGCAGGTTTGTGCGACAACTGAGAGACATGAGGGCAAAAAAGAGCGGGGATCCAGGTGGAAAAAAGGCTGATTTATGCTTCGAAACTAGGTCGTCTACGTGTGTGTCACAGTGAACGCAAAGACGTCCCCGCCCCCTCCGCAGACACTTTGCTGCACTTCTCCTAAATTGTAGGTGACCGCAGACAAGAGGCTGGCTTGTTTTGTTTTTATGACCGCAATGGCGGAAAACAACTCCTGAAGATGGGCCAGCTAGAAGAGCGAAGTGCGCGAGAACCCTGGAACCCTTGTTCCTCCTGGATCCCCGCTCTTTTTCGCCCTCATGCCCCTCCGTTGTCGGACAAACTTGCTCCCTCTTCCTCACCGCCTCGGACGTATCTAGACCCACAGCTAGTTCCTGATTCTCTTGCGTTGTGCCGTGGAATATAACAGCTTCAAAATTGAGCATAAATCAAAAATGTCTGCGTCAAGCTCACTGCGACACACTACTGCGGGGAGTATAACCAGCCCTAAAGGGTCCAAGCTTTCTTGCGCACCTCGCTCTTCTAGCTGGTCCAACTTCAGAAGCCGTTTTCCACAATGGCGGTCATACAAACAAACAAGCAAGTAAGGTACCAAACAGGAAATATGCATGGTGTAGAGCAGATGTAGATTTGACCAATCAGAGGCCTTCTCTCTGCGGTCACCTACAATTTGGGAGAGGTGCAGCAGAGTGTATTCAGAGGGGTCGGGGACGACTCTGCGTTCACTGTGAAACCTACACAGACGACCTAGTTTCGAAGTATAAATCAGCCTTAAGAAGCTCACTTTACAAACATCTGATGCGCTACTGTATCGGGTCTATGATTGGATGGTCAAACATCCTGAAATCAAAATTTTGTCCATCATCTATGTGTTCTCACCCTGCAGTTCTGCAATTTTTTGATAAGCTTTTCTTTTGCTGTTTGCATTTTTCCTCTCTTTTTGAATGTGCCATTTTCTGACATTGCTTTCTGTAACTCTGTAGGTCTTTGCTGCATGATACATGTTTGATGCCTCAGCTGCACTGACCACAGTTATTTTAAAATTGGCATCATCCAATGTCTCAAATGTTTGCAAACTTGTGTAACTTTTGATCCACTACACTCTGGGCAGCGACTCTCTATTTGTAGCATTCTAGTCACTTCTTATCTGTTGTAATTTAAAAAAAAAATTACCGCAGCCACAGTGAGGTCAGTGGCTTTTTTTTACTTGCACCCTCTGCTGTTGCTTTCATGTAACTACCCCAGACAACTGTTAGCCTGTATAATTGGTTAGACTTCGATTATAAGACGACCCCACATTATTTAACGAAAAAAAAAAAAGTCTTTTATTCTGGCCAATACAGTACATAATACAGAATACATTTATCATAAATGACCCATGATATGCACTTATAGTTTTTTTTTTTACAGTTGTATAATGTTTTTGTTTTACAAATAAAGACAGTGTAAAGAGATTTTCTCAGATTTCTTGTAAACACATTAAAACGCCATAAATGTGTTGCTCTACACGTGTAAAAAGTCTCCCAACCTTTTTATGATCGCACTGTGGAAGAGTTCTTTGGTTCCCAAGATGATATTGTCTCATTGCATCTGGACATGTTTTGAAAGTACATTTAATTTGTAAAAGTGGTGCATTAAAAGAGGCTGTATTATTTATTGTTTAAACATCTTGCGAGGGGCCGTGTGCTGTTGGACCAACTACAGCATATTGTAACAACATTGTTGTTGCTGTTAACTAATGAAAATAAAATTTTTGCTAAATATATTCTACATTCTTCTACTTTGGACTAGTTTTTCTTACTCCTTCCTTCGCTTTTGGAAAGTCACTTGGAATGGCTTTAATAAAGTGTAACACATCACGACAAAGCCTGATGTTCTTCCACACTGCACTACTCATCGGTCAAAAGAAGCTTAACAGTAGGAGCAGGTCATGCAGCCAGATCTCTGAAAAGAATTTAAATACGGAGGTTTTATTTTAATGTCTTTTGGTGGGAAATTTTGAGTATGTATAGAGATTTTTATGATACATCTATCCATTTATTTGTTTTTTCATTCTACAATTTTGTGCCTGTTCAGCAGCTGGTGCCCCAGGCAGCCATGAGCCTGTTTTACCTGTTGGCAAAGCCAGCCCTACACTGTGGTGCTAGAATTAAATGTGGGCTCCAATATTTCTGTGTTTTAAGATTTTCTGGGTGTGTCTAAATGTGTGGCGTCATGTCGTCATGCAGCTGTCCTCTGCTGTCCCAGCAGAATAAACACAAACAGCAAGGCAGCCTCTGCATTGTCACCAAATTAGTTACTTTTTTGCTATATTTAAAGCTTTTTGAGACCCCTTTAGTGACAACAATAAAATTTAGCAGCTTTGTCCTGTCTTGATGGAGACTTTGGTGACACATTTTTTTTTTTTAGTGAACAGTTAGTAAGCTATCCCCTCCCTCTTCCTCTTCCTCTTCACAGGGACTCAGATGCAGCAGCTGCAGCCCATGTCTGAAGTCAGAGAGCAGAGCGATTCTCCTCTGTTTCCTCACTGAAGATGAGTCACGCAAGCCTGAAGCTTCCACTGATTGCCCTTAAATAAAAATCTGCATGTAAAGATATTTTTCTCCTTTAAAACTGTTTCAGTGATATAGAATATCGAGTGGTCATGGAATCAGTGTCCCTATAGAGAACTCACCCTCAGCATCTCAGGGTAGAGAAAACTGTTTTTTCACTAATATGAGACCTTATTTTATATGCTTTGTTTTCTTTTTGATCATTCAGAACTCATTTTGGTGTGACAAACTGAGAGCGCATATTTATTTCACATTTTACTCGGCCTTTAGATGGTTGCACTTTTAGCTTCATATGGCTCTTTGGTACAATTAAACATTGAACTTTCATCTGAACTGTTTTTGGTTTCCTTTTTTTGCCCCGGTGCCCAGATGGAAAAAAAAAAAAAAATAGCCCCACCCTCCCTTGTAAATTTGGTCTAGAACTGCCACAGCCATCAACGCTTGGTTTTAGAAAAAAAATTATAATAATTAAACTTATTAGGTGCTCTTTGTGGTCACCTGACTTCAAATGATGACGCCACTTATTCAATGAGCAAAAGGCTGTAACTTAAAGGGGCATTTTGTCCACAATTAGTAAACAATTATCTGTACTTAAGTAGCATTTTTAATCAAATACTTTATTCTCTTACTAGAGTAAGTTCTTGGATGAAGACTTTTTCCTATTAGAAACTAAATAATTTTGCGTACCCACTTCTGGCTGTTATATTTATATTATTTGCTGCTGACACTAAAGAGTAGTTTAACGTTGGATTCTGCTTGGAAGTATTTCCTTTACAGATATGCTGGATTAAAGTGGAAATTAATAAACCCTGTTAAATGCAATCGTAAAGGCATATCAATTAAAACCTTTAAGCTAATAACACTGCTGGTTGAACACACACACAAAAAAAACCTGTAAACATGCAAACTTGGACTTTTAAAGCATGCTGAGGACAGATCTATGGAAACTCACAAAGAAGCAGAAAAGAGAAAGAGAGTCAGCATCTTTTTTCATCTCCTTCCCAGGAACGACTCTGCAACTTAAATTTGTCAAGGCACACAGAGAGACAATAACATCAACAACCTGAAGGCCTTTTTTAATGAAAACAAGGCAAAGATTCTCCAGGAACGCTGCATTAAGCAGGAGTCTGATGTTAATCATGTTCATAATAACGGAAGGTTTCTGATTAGATGATTTCAAAAAGTATATGTAATAGCTGATTTAAGCCATTTGAATTGTTCCATCTTCTGATGTAATTATTGCAAACTGTTTTGGGTTTGTATAATTTTGCTGAAAAATACTCATTTGTAATTGGGGTTTAATCGTTTGAGGTGCAGAACATTCATCAGCACAGGAGAGAGCTGTATGCCACGTTAATGTTGGTGGAGAATAACTGAGGCATGGTATTTGGTAAAGCACATGATTTCTCATTCCACTGATCACAATAGTGAGGGATTAGGCTACACAATGAGGATGAAGCTGGCAGGAGAGGATACCAGACAGGGAATCATGTGGGTGTCTGGGATAGATGGTGAAGAGGACGATCTGTTAGATCAGACCTCTCCGTCTGAGACCAGTAGGTAAACTTAAACGCTACCACTTAACTTCCCACTGCCTCTCCTGAACGCCCCCACAGTCTACTACTGACTCACATATGTTTTCATCTGTTATCCTCTGAAGGAATGAAACATCTCTGAGGACATACTGTGGTAGAAGTAGGTATTACATCAACATTTAAAAGCAAAAATCATTATTAAAATTAGGTTTAAAGTTTTATTACCTGTCTGTACAACACAGTACATTACAGACAAAATAAAAACATTAAGAAAGAAAAGGGTACAGTCTGCCTGTAAGAGCTTTTATACCATCATCAAAGTTTGTTCCTCTTACAACAGTGACAAAAGGCAAAGCATCTTCTTTACTTCCAAAAGTATTAAAAGACTCCACATACATTTATACAATCTCCAAACTGTTTTTTTTTTGTGGTGTGTCACTTAAAGATGTCACAGACTGTAAAAACCTCAATTTCTACATTTTAATCTGAAAATAAATCACCTTATGTATCAAGTGAACTATATTAATTTTCCAAATAATAGCACTGAGTGACGTTACAAATAAACTGCAAATTAAACACCTCAACTGGACCCGACATACAACAGAACAGAACAAAAAAAAAAAAAAAAATTTTTTTTTTTTTTAACTTCCAGCAACAAACTTCAAATTTACCAAAGGCAATTTCCCATATACTAAATGGTAACATCTTCAATCAAGTTCGCAAAAAAAAAAAAGGCAACACAATAAATAAAACAAATGGCACAGAAGGTCTTAATCTAAACTAGAAAGCACAACGTTTTGTGAAATATTCACAGGAAATTAAATGATAAAGCAAGCGCACATATATCTTTAGAGGGGACTTCCCCCCCAGACAGTAACACAGGCTCAAACAGAACCAATAAACAAATCACAAACTAATTACAATAAGGAGTATTACAGTTAGAATTCAATATATAGTATTTTTATTTACAAGCATATGTACAAGCAAGGGAATTAATGGTTTAGGCTTGTTACTATATTAGTAGCAGAACAATCAGATCATAATGCACTAAATATAAATCTTGTAAACATATCTCAACTTTCATCTTAGACATTAGATTATGTTTATATTTGCCTGGTTCATAGAGTATTTGTCCTTACTTTAAGGCATAAGTATCAAGCTTAGGAGTGAGCCTAAGATTTAGTTTTAAATAAGCCAGATTTTTGTAGCTTTCACTTTAAAGAGGGTTTAAAAAAAGAAAAAAAAACAACCCTCTATCACTCCACTGAGTGAAAGCCAACGGTCCCCATGTCTCTGGATGTGTGCAGCGAGCTGCAGCGTTATAAGATCTCCTCCACACCGTGCGCAAAGATCATAACCAGGCCGGGCTCCAGGATCATATCCTCCCCCATATGCTGATTCTCGCAGGCCATCACCACCACTGCCTGCTTGCCAGGAATGCGCTTGGCAACGTAGTTCTCATAGTAGCGCCTGTTCATCTGCCGCGTCTCTAGAGTGGCCAGTCCCTGCGGCCAGTTCCGCTCGTGGGCGTTCTCAATTAGGTCGTTCACGATCGAGAGGGGGCAGCCGCTGTCGATTAGAGAGCGCTTGATGACAGCCTGCAGCACGGCGTCGGGCGTGGAGATCATGCCGCCCCAGCGGGTCACTCTGGCTGGCTGCATGGAGTTCACCCACCTGAAGGAAAGAACAAGGTGAAAATAAGAAACTGGCTGGTGTTTAGACGATCAACTGATGAACTTCACTTACTCCAGGATCTCGTTGTACTCTATGCTCTCTTCAAGGTTCTGCAGGTTAGGGTTTGCACTGCGGATTGCTCTCATGTAGGCTTTTAGCAGCTGAATGTCTCGTTTCTGCACAAAATGAGCCACATCTTAACTACAGACTTAAAAAAAAAGCATAAACATGACATTGTCTGAAGATAAAAACAAGTTTAAACTTCCACCATGTTTTTGTTCATGATAAAAACATGAATGGTATTTTTGAAGCAGATACGGGAGCATCTAAATAAGAATAGAGAATAGTATTTTGATTCAATGAAATAGACCAACATAACGTAGAGCATAAGAAGAGACAATGATAACATGGTTTCAAAATATTTGACTGTCATTTTTTTGTATGCTGTATTTTCCAAAATAAAATATTTATAGAAGAAATAGGAAAAATGATGTTAACAGATGAGAATGAAATTAAAGTGTTAGGAGCATTAAAAGAGTTGTCTCTCTTTTAATGTTCTTTTATTGAGCACCCCCCTGCTTGGACATCTTGTGCAAACATTACTTATTGCCACTTATCTGCAAGAATCTTCTCTCTCACTGTGCAATAACACATGCCAACTACTGAGTAGCCTGTGTAATTTTGCTACACCCAAGTCAACTATTAGCTAGTCTTCCATTCTCTTTCTCTACTGTGCAGATATTTTTTATCTCCAAAGGAAACATATTCCAGGACATTACAACTTTGTTTTCTCTTTTTATATTGTCTGTCATATTTTATATCTTTAATGGCATCTTGCCTTAACTCTTTGTACTCTATATAAGCTACTGGAACCAGAATTTCCATGAAGGAGTAATCCAAAGGGAAATAATAAAGTTGAGTCTAAGTCTAAAACAGCAGGAAATGTGTTAAATAAACTCAAATTAAAGCATTCCAGACAATAAGACCTAAAGCACTCAGTTTTTGTAAATAAAAATGTTAATATAAAAGTCTAGAGGACAATGACCAAAAATGTCATTGCCCTCTCATTTATTTTTTATTAAAAAAATTTTTTTTTTTTTTTTTAACTAGCCGTGTATTCATTTATTTTATCGATTCTTAATTGTGGCAGGATTTGTCCTCCATAGTTAAAGGCTACAGAAGACTGCAGAGATGTGGTAAAGATTAAAATATCCTAAAGCATTTTCAAAATAATCAATCATCTTCTTTCTACTAAACAATTATGCAGTTCCTTTCGTTTGTGTATTGCCTAACATATGTTTGTACATTTATGTGTAAATGTATTTTGCATGGAGCTGTAACTCTTAAATTATCAACCTATTTTTACAGCTTTTTAAACCCCTTTTTTTCATCCATACAAGGTAAACATCATCTGGGTCTAACGTTTTCAGATTTTTCTGTTATATCAGTAAAAGGCTCTCACTTGTTCCCCCAACTGGTGTTTGTGTTCCACCACAGTTTTCTCCAGCTCTGAGATCTTGGTCTGCTGCTGCTGGACGACGCTCCGCAAGTGTTTGATACAGTTATGGTTTGGCAGCTCATCTTTGGGCATTTCAAGCCTACAGGAAAAAAAAAGGAATAACAGGGATACATCTTAATTTTGTGCAGGCTATGTTTTGTTTTTCTAGATTTGTCAATGTTAAATACAAATAACGATTAATAAAAAATGACTAATCTATTCTTTTCTGCTTACCCACATCCCTCCTCGCAATTTACTGGCCTTTTTGGGTTGTGCTCACAGTCTTTCAGGTGAGACTGTAGCTGGTCCAACCGGAGCGTAGCTGTGCAGCCAAAGCTGGCATTGTCACAGTTGATTTGTAGTTTGGACAGCATGTTGCGCATGATTCGGGGCACGGGCCGGAGGTGAGCTAGCGTCACTACTGTGCGGTCAACAGGACAAATTTGTTGCTGGGCAAACCACTGGGTTATGCAGGCATTGCAGAAGGCATGTTCACAGTGTGGAGCCTGAATTGACAATATAAGAGACAAAAAAACATAAAAAAAAAAAACATTTGGCAAATATACGAATAATTTCTTTAGGTTCAGAAGTTTACGCACATTTCTTCAATATTTTGTCTTTTAAGCTGTAGAACAATATAAGTATCCCTGCAAATTTTCCAAAGCCCTGGAAACAGAGCATTGTAATGATCAATCTAAAACATTGACCCGATCGTCTCACATTTTCACATCAGCTTTCTAATTTCATTAGCAATACCTAATGAAATTAGAATATTAGAATATAAATACCAATTTTCCCTGTGGGAAACCAATTGATACGCACGTTTTACCTCAATTTTGTACACTTTTGTTCTCCAGCGAAAGACAAAAACATCCATACAGCATAATACTGCCACTCCCATACTTTAAGGAATAGTTATCAGAGATGCAAGCTTCTCTCTTTATTGTCCTATGGGTTGCAGCCAATAAATCTCAGCATTAGACCTAATCAGGACATGTCTCCAAAAATATAAAAATTTACCTGCGTGCATCTTACAAGCTATTTCCTTTTGAATGGCCCTTAACCTCATATCTGCTCTCCTTCAAGCTTTAACAGGCATATTTAAATGGCCATTTGTCTTAGCTTTGATTGCATAACACAAGTTGAAACTGCCCCCTTCTTGAAAAGTATAATGTATGGACATTTATATTTAGTTTGCACTTGCATATAATTGTTTAAAAAGAAGAAACTTCCCCATTTCAGGAATCTAAAAAAAGGACCCAGGAATTAACCTTACAAGTGAAGGTCCACAATTCTTTTCCTGATATCTTAACAGAATTCTTTTGATTTACCAATAATTTTACAAGTAAATAGTGTGTTGGAGGCGTTACCCAAAATTACACCCACATGTGGCTCTATCCGACTTTAGATGAAGAAACAGAATTGTTTTATTGTCTCTTCCCAGTTGTTTGGTCATATTGTCTGAATTAGTGGCAATAAAAGGGCAAGAGGTTTCCTGCTATAAGAACGGTTAAACTTAAAAAAAGGAAAGGCTTCATTTTTTTATACAGTGTATAAAAATAGTTTCAGTCTTTAAAGTGGGTGATCTTTGAAATAAAGCCTTACCTGCACCGGTTCCTCTAGAACTCCACTACAAATGGGACAAAGGAGGTCTTCATCCACCTCACCCTGGAACCTTGTAACGTCGTACCCCATGGTACACAACGTACAACCTCCTAGAAGAACGAGAAAAAAACAAATAAGTATGTTTTCAGGTGAAGCGGAACAGAAGCAGTTCTGATACAGTGGACAGAAATGATGACTCAGCTGTTGACATATTTAGGGGAGTCCTGATCTGATATTAATATCGGATATCAGTGTGATATTACCTAAAAAAATAATCTTGTATTATATCTGCTGGCATCTAAAATCTCAGATATTTTCATGCTGATGGAAACACTCTGCTTCTGTTCAAAGTTTCTGTAACTCATTGGTAAATAATACATGGGTAAGTGGTTCTCATACCTTTTGTTTATGACTTTTGTTCTCTCTTTTGGTAACATCACTTGATCAAGCCCTTTCTAACATTCTACAGTACAAAAAGAAGTAACAAAAGTATGTATGATTCATGCTAATATCGTATTGTGCCAATATAAATACTGGCCAATTCTTAAAACAGCAATATTGGTATCGTATTGGAAATTAAATAGTTGTATCAGGACATCCTTAGTAAATTTTATCTCCCTTTAAACTGTGGGATCTTGTTCCTGTTGTCCTCTCAAATTATATCACAATTTTGTTTTTAAAAATCCCCTTTTGTTTGCTTCCAGTGTTAGAGTTTTTGAGATTTAATAAGTAAAGAAAAAATAATTACTAACCTCCAGCATTTATTAACAATATTCAAAATATTTTATATTTAATCAGATTTTATTTTCACTACAGCTTTCTAAATTTCAGGCCATTTTCACTGTGATTCTTACCCTTGTTTTAAATTAAATCATACTTAGAGCAGCATAAAACCCTGAATAACAATCATATCATTCTTTTTGCCCTATTATAGCCAAAACATCAAATTAATCTGTTAATTTTGACCTGGCTAAACTGTATTTCGAACTAGCTCTTGTGAAGGATGAAATGGCAAAGCACTGCTTGTACCTACCTCACGCGCAAAATGTCTCAAATGTTTCCATTCAGCTCTTCCTTCTTTAGCTAATGCCTCACAAGCGGCAAAATCAATCTATCTCCTGAAAATGACACATAAAGAGCTTTAAAATATTTCGCTTTTGTGTCACACAGTGTTTAAGACAAAAAGTAATTTGTAAAATAAGACAAAGGCAACCCCAGGAAATAGAAGAGCAGGTACTATGGTGATCGCTCATTTATGAAAAGCAAAAAGTGTAGCTATTCTAACCTGGGTCTATTGATTGATTCTGCCACAGCTGGTAGCAAACAGTGTACTATTACTGGCGAGTAACACAGCGCTATGGAGGAACTTCAACCATCTCTTCATTGTAGCAATGTTTTAATTGTAGCCACATTACAGGGTTTCTATACATAAATTGTTTATACAACAGAAAAAAAAAAGTTCTGATTCTGATCATTGTTCTGCTTCACAACCTAATAATGATTTAAAGATAGACCAAATAATCAGCTGCCTAATTTTTTTGGGCCAATATGCGCACATATTGCTGCTCCTTTCATGTGTTATCTATCATCAATGTTTTATTAGATTTGTTAATAAATATTTGTTTTATTTTAATTAAGACTCATAATATTTATTATTGTGTAATTTATATAGCATAAATGAGGAAAGAGATAGCAATATTGTCTTCCAGAATCAGTCAAAGACATCAGGGGGATAATAAAATGGCAAAATAATCTATGTTGCCATACAATTATTTATATATATATATATATATATATATATATATATATATATATATATATATATATATATATATATATATATATATATATATATATAAAAGTTTAAGACAAGCCAAACAAGTTTATCTGAGTTTATATTAAGAAACGCTGGCAATCGCTGGCTATTCCTAAGAGATGCTTTGTTGTTTCTGAAAGTTTCAGGAATCTTTACAAATGTTTTTCATCTAGCAGAACTTGGAAAGACAGCGCATTTTTGCCAAACAGTGATTTTTTTGCCTTGTAACTCTCTTAAGGATGTTTGTTTTGTTTTTTCCCAGTTTATTATTTAACATTGACCAAGAAACTTAACTGAGACAACTGAGGACTCAAAAGCTTCATAAATAAATTTAGTTGTTATTTAATGCAAGCTTGAACTACTTTTGGTACACTGCTCAATTCTGGGAAGGTTTAAGTATCTTCAATGTTTTCCCATTTGTTGATAATGGTTCTCATGTGGTTCACTAGAACCAGTGCCTTACGGACTAAATATCAAACCTTTTCCAGAATAACTTTGATGTCTATACAGCCAATCATTTCTTAAGATAAGAGCATGATTTGTTGGTTTTTGAGAACTTTATTCTACTTCAAGCTGTCAGCCAGGTTCTATTTAAGGGATTTCCTAAATCTAAATAAAACAGCCAGGGTGTGGCTAAACACTGAAAATCATGACTTAAAACAGTTTTTAGCTTTTTGCCAAGCTGGCTCAGATAGCTTACTTCCCCTAAAACATTAAAGATAAAATAAATGAAAAAAACCTTTTTAAATTGTATTTACTCATCTTAACTGTGTCTGAAATCAGCATTCCCGAAACTAGACGCATTAAAGACGCAAAAAATAGAAAATATAATCATATGCAATGTTGTACATCCGCATTTCGTTGCCTTGCACTTGATACACTAACAACCACGATAAAGATTTATCTAATCTACTTTCGCTAAAACATTGACAGGATGAATATTGAAACCTTTGACAGCACTGTGACTCTAAGCAATTTGATTTAAACAGACAAATAGTTAACTGTTACACTGTAATACTGCATAATTATATATACAAAAAAAGCAACCTGCAATGGCAACGTTGTCATTTTCACATGACACCGTGGAACCAAAGTTACGTGGTTATCTTCCATTAGTGCATCTCCTTAAACACCCCCAACAAGCTCTGTAATGTCCTAGTTTACCCCTTACTGACCCAGTTTTAGAAAAAGGAGGACATTTAGGCCAGGTTGCCATTTACAGATATTTTCCCACCTTCTTTCTCAGCATGTCATTCACAAGTTAGCAAGGCGCCGTGGCTATTGGTATACATCGATTGTTTTTTAATACTGAGTCATATAGTACATGGATTTATACCTATGTAAACGTGTGCCTGATCGTTAAAAAACTATCAATATGCGTGAGGTGTGACACTATAAAGCTTGGTTGTCAAGATTAGCATCTAAACGTCTTCTAACTAGCTAGCTAGCCTTGTTAGCAACTAACAGATTAGCTCTCGACATAAGCAACCGTAGCACAGAATAAAACAGTTATTTACACACCAAGGTGTTTTGAGTTATCTCAAAAAAATTATCTACTTACTCCGACATTAAGTAAATCTGATTCTTATAAGGATTTTAAGTGTTTCGGACGTCGTGCCGTCACTAGCTCCTTGCTAGCCACGTCCTGCTACATCATACCCTTTGGAGTTTACGTAGCTCGACTGAAACGTCATCACGTTCATCAGGTAGCATATTTCTGTTAAAATCTACTTTCAATATTTTATTATGACCTACATTAGCCTGTAGATAAAATGTTCCTGTATATATCACTACTTAATACTTATATGATCTTAGGTATTTTGTTTTATATTTTATATAATAGATTTCTATTCTATAAACGTATTATGCCACTTTCTTTTTATTCAAGATATATTGTAAAACTGATATAAATCCTGAATAACACATTTAAAGAGCTTAAATAAGATTTCTGTTCTAAATAGAAAAACATTAAAATACTACCACTAATAATATTTCTAAATACTTTTACTATAATTTCTTTGCTCCAACAGTTTTTATTTTTCAACTCAATTTAATTCAGTTTATTTATATAGCGCCTATTCACAACAAATCTCAAAGCACTTTACAGGGTCAATTCAACCAGATCATACAGTCAGATTGATTCAACGTTTTCTATCTAAGGAAAACCAGCTGATTGCATAGACTCAACTACAATCCCTTACAACAAGCATGCATGTAGCGACAGTGGAAAGGAAAACTCTCTTTTAACAAGAAGAAACCTCTAGCAGAACCGGGCTCAGTGTGAGCGGCATCTTGCCGAGGCTGACTGGGGTTCAAGGAGAAGATGCAAAAAAACATCTGGCCTCGTTCAGCCATGAAAGCTCCAAGCAAGCTCCCATGTCAGATGATGAAAGAGAGCACATACAGTTAGTCACTATTCACTATTATTATAACTATTACTGTCTCATCATCAACATCTTCCCATAATAGAATCAGAACAAGAAAATAAATCTCAGATTAGCATTAAAAAAACACTGGAGAAGTATTACTCAACATAAAACTATTCAACTCAACCTGAAAAACTTTAAGACCAAATGAAAAACAGAAGGCTGCACATTTTTATTAAGCAGCTAGGCTCTGTGACAGAAGGTAAACAGGAAGGAAAGGATCTGTAGCCAGAATGTGGAAAAAAATCAGTGTAGAGAATGAGGAAATATATCAACAGGAGCAGCAACATAATGAACACACAAACTAGCAAGAGTCAGTGTTACGTCACGCTTGATATTCATTTCAATTTAATGAAAAAATACTTTTCTAATCCCAAAGAGAGATTAAATGTTCCAGTAGCTGGGGCAGTTTTTCAATGAATGTAGATGTTTTTAGCTTTGTTATGAACCCTTTTTTGTTTTTCTGTTTTAGCTTCAATGGCACAATAAATTAACAGCTGTTCTATCATCCTTTACATTTTGCAGCTTTAGGTATTTATTCTACATAAAAAGCATTTTTTCGTACATCACTGGCTGATTTTCTGAACTTGTGCAGCATAAAACGAGTCCGGATCTGGCAGACGGCATCCCACAATCCCTGTGCTGTCGTCACCATCTGTGCTGTCCCTCTTTTCCTGTCTTGTGTGGTTTCCCTACTACACAATCCCGCTGAGAGACAGGATGCTTTTAATCAGGGCTCTGTAGGAGTTGTCAAGCAGCTGAGAAGAAGGATTGCTTAACTTCCCAAGACGGAAGGTTTGTTGCTTGGTGTTCTTCACCAGATGGGAGGTGTAGTCAGTCTAGACTACACAAAAGCAGCAGTATATATTAATACAGTAAATTCAAATTTCAAAATACTTGATTAATCCCAAAGGGAAATTAAATGTTGCAGTAACTCGTACGTTTTTTTTTTTTTTTTTTTTTTTTTTTACAGCTGTAGGCAGGAAGTATCTGCTGTAGTAGTCTGTCTTGCATCTGGAGGAGCCCCTTACTGAAGAGGATGCTCACTGTTGTCCATAATTTTCTTCGCTTCATGAAGAATTCCTGTTGTGAAATAATCTCCAGAGGTTCTAGAGGAGTTCCTAAAACAGAGCCGGCCTTCTTAATTCATTTAAGCAGAACATTTTTCAGAAATAAACCTTATTTCTTCACCTTTAAACTTGTTTTTTTCCCCTCATAAAATTACTCACTCATAACAATTGGCTTTGTAAATTATTCATAATTCTTTAGAATTTTTGGATGCATTAAATACTGAAAAGACATTTTCATAAATACCTGGTGTAAAGTCAAGACAATTGACAAATCCTATTCTTTCCAGCTTGTAACCCCCCCTCAAGGTTATGTTGGGTTTAAGATCACTAATTTTGGGGTAAATGTTATAAACTTATGACCTAACCATTTTCACAGTTTAATATTTATTATTTCAGTTATATTTTCGCTCTGAAATCAGTATTGAGGAACCTCTGACTTTCCTCTGAAATCTGATTTCAATAAGCGTTATTAAAAACTTAGAGTGGAAAGTTTAACTTTAGAAAAAATTAATCCACACTTCTGTTTCTTCGTGGATAAGCCATTAGTTTCCTCTAAACTTAAGAATTTTAATGTGTAACAAGAATATGTAGTAGTTTTAATATTTTTTCAACACCATGTGCCAAATTTAATTAGTAAAATGTACATTAATAATTATGATTTCCCAGACAGCCCTTGAATTAAATAACACAAATGTACATTACTCATATTTACCACAAAAAGAATCTTATTTTGTGAACATACAGGTGCTGGTCATAAAATTAGAATATCATGAAAAAGTAGATTGATTTCAGTAATTCCATTTAAAAAGTGAAACTTGTATATTATATTCATACATTACATACAAACTCATATATTTCAGATGTTTATTTTGTTTAATTTTGATGATTACAAATGACAACAAATGAAAATCTCAAATTCATCATATCAGAAAATTAGAATATTGTGAAAAGGTTCAAAATTGATGGCCCCTGGTGCCACACTCTAATCAGCTAATTAACTCAAACCACCTGCAAAAGCCTTTAAATGGTCTTTCAGTCTAGTTCTATAGGCTACACAATCATGGGGAAGACTGCTGACTTGACAGTTGTCCAAAAGACGACCATCGACACCTTGCACAAGGAGGGCAAGACACAAAAGGTCATCGCTAAAGAGGCTGGCTGTTCACAGAGCTCAGTGTCCAAGCACATTAATAGAGAGGCGAAGGGAAGGAAAAGATGTGGTCGAAAAAAGTGTACAAGCAAGAGAGATAACCCCACCCTGGAGAGGATTGTGAAACAAAACCCATTCAAAAATGTGGGGGAGATTCACAAAGAGTGGACTGCAGCTGGAGTGAGTGCTTCAAGAACCACCACACACAGACGTATGAAAGACATGGGTTTCTGCTGTCGCATTCCTTGTGTCAAGCCACTCTTGAACCACAGACAGCGTCAGAAGCGTCTTGCCTGGGCTAAAGAGAAACAGGACTGGACTGCTGGTGAGTGGTCCAAAGTCATGTTCTCTGATGAAAGTAAATTTTGCATTTCCTTTGGAAATCAAGGTCCCAGAGTCTGGAGGAAAAGAAGAGAGGCACTTCATCCACGTTGCTTGAAGTCCAGTGTAAAGTTTCCACAGTCAGTGATGGTTTGGGGTGCCATGTCATCTGCTGGTGTTGGTCCATTGTGTTTTCTGAGGTCCAGGGTCAACGCAGCCACATACCAGGAAGTTTTAGAGCACTTCATGCTTCCTGCAGCTGACCAACTTTTTGGAGATGCAGATTTCATTTTCCAACAGGACTTGGCACCTGCACACAGTGCCAAAGCTACCAGTACCTGGTTGAAGGACCATGGTATCCCTGTTCTTAATTGGCCAGCAAACTCTCCTGACCTTAACCCCATAGAAAATCTATGGGGTATTGTGAAGAAGAAGATGCAATACACCAGACCCAACAATTCAGAAGAGCTAAAAGCCACTATTAGAGCAACCTGGGCTATCATAACACCTGAGCAGTGCCACAGACTGATCGACTCCATGCCACGCCGCATTGCTGCAGTAATACAGGCCAAAGGAGGCCCAACTAAATACTGAGTGCTGTACATGCTCATACTTTTCATGTTCATACTTTTCAGTTGGCCAACATTTCTATAAATCCTTTGTTTTTATTGGTCTTCAGTAATATTCTAATTTTCTGATATGATGAATTTGAGATTTTCATTTGTTGTCATTTGTAATCATCAAAATTAAACAAAATAAACATCTGAAATATATGAGTTTGTATGTAATGTATGAATATAATATACAAGTTTCACTTTTTAAATGGAATTACTGAAATCAATCTACTTTTTCATGATATTCTAATTTTATGACCAGCACCTGTATGAGGCAAAAGGACTTGCTGGAATGTTTGAATTACATTACAAGTGCAGTTGAGCAAAATAAAGCCTCTAGAAAAACATCTAAACATCAGTCAAACACGGTGGGAGAGGTATGAGGATCTGGGTTGCTTTACTTGCTTCAAGTCCCGATTGATGAAACCTTCAATCCTCGTCTCTAGCCAAAATCCTGAAAAGGAATGTCAATGAGTTCTAGACCTGAAACTAAAGTTATTCAGCAAGATACTGAATCATTTTGAGCTTTTTAGTGGCTAAGTAAAGAAACTCTTGTAGTAAAACTTTTGAACTTGACATCATCCACAATGAAATGTTGGTTGTTTCTACCAAAGCCATAGTCTAAGGGGTAATTAGTTTTGTTTAATATACAGGAGTTTAGATTAAATACCCATTTTCTTATTGATAATTTAAATGTTTTAACACTGTATTTTGTATTTACTCTGATTATCTTCTATAGTAAAATGATTTTCATCTGAAACTTTAGTGATAGTGATAGTATAGTAGGAGAAAAAAAAGAATCTACAAATGGAAAAAACGTTAACATCCCTTACTGTAAAACCAGTGAACTCCACCCCCCCCCCCAAAAAAAAGCACGAGAGGAATTATTTAGCAATAGCACTTTATTGAACACAAACAACCCTAAGCCACAATACTGAATGACAAGACCAATTGGCTGCAGCAAACATTTTATAAAATAGATTCAGGTTTAATGTCACTAAACTGTTTTTTTTTCTTTTAACGTCAGAAAGACAGATGCAGGTTTTTCCAAAACAGTGAATGATCTTTTACATATTTAACATTTCTGTAACAAATTATCATTCACATG